GAGAGAGAGAGAGAGAGAGAGAGAGAGAGAGAGAGAGAGAGAGAGAGAGAGAGAGAGAGAGAGAGAGAGCAATTACCGAAAAACATTGAAGTGCTGGGTTGAATTGTTGATGTTCTATTACAATTTCGAAACATACCGTACAAGTCCGTGGCAAGTGGAATGATACCGAGAAACGGAGCATGGCCGCTGTGTGATGATGGCATGCACTAGCAAATGAAGAAACGGACCAAGTTTCTTGATCTAAAACAAACAAAGAAACATATCTTCTGTTCCCAGCACGTGTTGCTCAACAGTACACAATGCGACCAATATGTAGCTGTTCATGAAAAGGTCATGAGCTGGTTTCCTCATGATGAGTCCGATCAGATGATTACAGTAATGTCAGAGGGTTCCCCCTTGGAAGAAATAGCAATAACAACAACAAGAAAACAAACGTAGCATTTGTCCTGCGAAGTTTTCGAGCACGTCTGATTCTTTTTTTTTTTTAATTACTGTGTTCGTAACTTTGCAGTTCGCCAAGCCAGACACTGCCCAGGTGACCATTGGTTCGCCAGTATGGGTCGAGGACCCTGTGATTATGTGGATAGAGGCCACTGTAATAAAGATATCAGGCGACAAGATTACATCAGAGACACGAGATGGGAACACGGTAAGCCGGACTCCTTCTCTGCTTCATCAATTGGTCGGTTGCCTGGTACGATGCTCAGTCTCTGTGCTGTTGCTGTGTTGAGATTATGCAAACGGCGATTTATTTGTGAATGTCGAAAAAAGGACTGGCAACTTTACAAGCCTATCTCCGGTTCTTTTGAAAACTAAATAGAACGACACGACTGGTGCCAACGAGTGATTAGTGCCTATGATCAGTCACCTGTCATTCCGACGAAGTCATACCAAATAATAGCAAACCATTGAACGTGTGGTAAGGTTTCCTTGAATCCTCGACCATCTCTAGCTCATTACATAATGTATCCTTTCAGCCAGACACTCTGGATGGCAGATCTATGAAATGCGCTACAGAAAGGTAGGTTTGTTCTAAAAGAGTAAGGAATTAACATGTGAGTTAATGGTAATCAATGCTGGCAGGGGGAGGTCCTCTTAACTTTTCTAAAAAAAGATCCTTGTTGAAGTGTAAATGTTCTTATGGGATGCTGGAGCCGGTTTCCAGCACGTGCTGCTCCCCAGGAATAGGTTGGAGCATTTGCCCCCCCCCCCCAAAAAAAAAAAAACGGCGGGGGGGAGAAAACAAAAAAAAAAGAGTTAATGGTGCTATACCATCGTAAACCCGCCCATGTGATCCATTCCTTATTGAACGGAAGAGAGAGAGAGAGAGAGAGAGAGAGAGAGAGAGAGAGAGAGAGAGAGAGAGAGAGAGAGAGAGGACCTGCGTGGGTTTGTTTTATGATTTGATCTCATAGAATAACCAGCCGTGACCAAATCTCATTGTGAAGACTAACTCTGTGAAAAGTTGAAATTTAAACATGCTCTTATTCTTTTTGTTGCTGGGTGTTTTCCTTTGGCGTCGTGTTTTCTTGTATTTGTTGTGAAGGTGGTTTCCAGCATCGAAAATGTGTACCCAAGAGATGAGGAAGCCCCCTCAAATGGGGTGGATGACATGACAAAGCTGTCCTACCTGCATGAACCTGGCGTCCTGCAGAATTTGTACATTAGATACCAACTGGATATGATCTATGTAAGTCTGTCCAATGCCAGAAGTCGGAGGTTCAAATCCTGCTTTCCTCGGGGTTTATGTGAACTTTGTGGTGGGAACCGCGTCCTATCAATGCGGATTTTGGATTTTTTTTTTTTGTCTTTTTTTTTGGGGGGGGGGKGGGGGCCAAAATTCTCCCATTGTTGATCCTCGCTTCCTGATGATTTTTGTACTTAAGCCCACTGAAGTAGTAGCCCTTCTTTCCCAGCTAAGTTCCCCCCCTACGGTACAGCGGTAGCCCCGGTGCAGGGATGGCAGGCCGAAACATAGGGCAAAAAAAAACGTTTTCAGGACAGGTAGGGGTCTGGCGCCAGGGCCTCAAACTGATTTGACGGTTTTGGCAACATCAGACAAGGTTGGGATCCCAGCTGTAAAGGCTATTTCCCCCCCCCCCCCCCCCCCCCCCCCCCCCCCCCCCCCCCAAAAAAAAAAAAAAAAAAAACCTTTTTAATTTATTAATGGAAACTCGAATGTTTTTTGTTTCCTTTTTTTTGTTTTTGAAATTCGTCGTCTGACTTGTCTCCAATAAAACCAGTGAGCTGGGGCCATGCACCCCCTGCCTCAATAGGTAGTGTGAGATTCAAGAATGAGAGAGGACAATAGCATAGTAAAAAATGCAGCGGTCCCCCATATGACGAGAAGATAAGCCTGCATTTTATATGGAAAAAAAAAAACGAAAAGGAAAAAACAGTGAGCTGGCACAACAGTTTTGAAAAATTGGAAAATCTGGAAGAGCTTTCCAATATGTCCAAGTTTTTAATATTTATAATTTAGTGGCTATCACCAGCATTCCCCTAATGTTGCCAAGTATAGGCAGGGTAGAGGTACCGACAGGGGCACGGTGAAAAGAGAGAGAGAGAGAGAGAGAGAGAGAGAGAGAGAGAGAGAGAGAGAGAGAGAGAGAGATGGGAAACGGTTGTAGGTGGGCTTGTTTCTCCACTCCAAGAGCCCTGTCAGACTTCAAGAGGGGTTTTGAGGTAAGAGAATGAAAAACAGGAAAACAGTTGGCTGGAATCAACATGCGTAGACAAGATGGAGAGATCAATAGATAAATTGTATTAGAGTAGATTTGGACTGTGTTACCAACCGGGCTGCCTGGGTCATCTTGGTTGCCCGGGTGGCCCGGCTGGGCAAGGGCCAAGGGAGTTCTCTGTTTTTTTTTTTTTTGTGCTAAATTTGGGAAATCTCATTGCCATAGAATCAATCCAACATCCAAGTAGTAGCCCTAAGCTATGATGTGACCGCCTACACTACGTCCCTAGCCTAGCCTCCTGTCAAATACCTAGAGAACTAGCTCTGGAACAGGGGCTGGTGAAGGAAAAAACAGTGCTGGACGACATGCAAAGATTACAGATGATCCCCAGGGAAAGTAATCAATGCCGTCCACTCGGATCTCTCAACCGTCATTGGAAGAAGCGTGCATGAGTAACTGTTATGCTACTTTTGACTTGCCGGTGGAATAGGAACCGGACTGATGAGATAAAATCTTTTTCTTGTGGAAGTATCGTCTGACTGTATCCTTGAGGGTAGCATCTGAAGCGAGCAACTCTAAACCCTAGAGATCTGGGAGGCAGATGACCCATTGACCAAACTATTATTGGGAGCTTGGACCGTGTATCTTGATGGGGAGTAGTGTGATGGGTAATCGGTGTTAGGATTTAGTGCAGTGTGAATGATGTGGGTGTGTTGGGTTTCCTGTGTGGGCATGAGACCTGGAGGATGGGAGGGTATTTCGATTGATGAGGGTGCGTTTGGGTGATGTTTGATGGTGAGCAGTGGTTGGGGGGGGCGGGGGGGGGGCGGTGGTAGGTGATTAGGGTGGGTTGACAGAGAAGTTCATAGAGCGGTATCTGTTTCATTTAGTGCGATGGGGGATAGGTTGTTTTTTACTGTGGGTTGTGTTGGACTGGTGGGATTTTGAGTATTTGATGTGGGCATAACTAACCAGTCTTGTAAGCGCAGTCTTTCTCTTTCAACCGTTCCTAGTTTCCCGTTGCCTAGAATCAGGGAGATGACTTTATTAATGATCTCTTGTTTCTTATCTGGGGCATTTTGTAGGGATTGGAGTTTCGTGTATGTTCTGTTCCATTGTGCTTGAATTTCTGTTTCGACCGTCTGTTTAATGGCTATGAGGGGTTTTCAGGGGTATTGAAATCTCGAAGGTTGCTGCGCATCTCCTTTTCCAGATCGCCCCGAGGGTCGATTTTTTGATGGGTGAGAAGAAAAGATGCTCAAAACCTTTGACTCTTTGAGGGGTGGGTTTTGGTCTACCTCTAGGAATAGGGTGCCCAGGTTGATCGCGATGGTTTTATTGGAGTGTTTGTTCCAGGTTAATTCTATATCGTGCCAGAGTTGCTTTGTCTTTGGGCAATCTATGAAGCAATGATCGAGTGATTCTTCGAGTTGGGTGTTGCATTGCTCAGTGTCATTATCTTTCTTTCTTCTTTGCGATAGCCAGAGATTGACGGGCACTCCACAAAATGTTATGAGCCATAGCAGACTAGCTAGTTTGGGTGGTCTTGTGCCAAAGATAGAGGTCCATGATGGGTTGATGTTGACCGCTGTGATGGCATTTTCCTCCTTTTCCCATCTTTTTTGTATGATTGTGTGTATGGAGAGGGGTTTGTTGTGAAGCTTGTAGCCTAACTTGGGTGTGTAGTCAGTGAGTGCATTGCGGCGCTCTCTTGTGGAATGCGGGCTGGTTCTAGTCCAAGACCATTCAACTGGATCTATTTCCTGGTGTTTTATTTCTGTTTCGGATCGGTAGACTTTGTTTCTGTCCCATTCTATGACCCGGATTCTTGTGAGATCGGTAGACTTTGTTTCTGTCCCATTCTATGACCCGGATTCTATGACCCGGATTCTTGTGAGACCATTCCAAGACCCTTCTGCCCTTGGTTCTTTGCTAATGAAACTAGCTGGGTATCCTGGTTCCTGTGGGGGATAGATGGAAAATAGTATCCAGTTCTTATTCTGTAGGTTGTTGTTTGTGACAAGTATTTCTGTGGGATGTATTTGTTCTCTGTTCAATGCCCGATCGCCCCACATCCACTTTTGAGCCCCACATCCACTTTTGATTAGTCTTCAACAAGTGGCACCATTCTAGAGGTATGCTTTCGATGATGTGAGTGATGTTGGCGTGCAAATTGTGGCAGCCTTTTAGTAAGTTTCGCAGATCCTTTGCTGTCTTCCAGTTGTTTGTTGGTTCGTTCCAGAGATGTTGCACTTGCCATACGCCTTTCTCTTCCCAATGTCCACATTTGATGTCTGTTTTGGTGAGAGAGAAGCTGAGGCCATTTTCGTCTTTGATCCATGGATTGCCGAACAGGGGCTGTCTGAGAACTTTGTCTCTTTTCTTTGGGCCGATGTTATTATGTGGGAAGATCTTTCTCCATATGCGGATGAGTTGTTCCCAGAATGGTTTTGTGTTTCCTTCTCTGTTTCCTCGTCTGTGTTGGGAGGGGGGTTGTTGTTGTTCTTTTCTCTTGGCAAGGGCCATGACTTGTTATAGATCCAAAAAGGCCTGACATGTTGGGGGGGGATTTATAAGGTGCCAAGTCCTTGATGTGACTTAGGGCTAGTGGTACCCATTGTAGGTTATTTTGCAAGGTAAGTCTGATTATCCATTTAGTCTGGAGGGCCTCAATCTGTCGAGCCGGGTCTATAATTCCTAGCCCTCTGTCTATGGATTGCGTGACGATTTGCCATGCGACCTTGTGAATGAAATGTTGTTTATCCGGGTTGCCTGTCCATAGGTAGGCCACTACCCTGTAACGGATTTGTTTTTGGAAGTCTAAGGTGGGGAACCATATCAATGTAGAGTACCACATCATTGATAAGATTGAGTTATTCAGGGCAAAGGCTCTTCCGACAAGTGAGGTGTGAACTCCTTGCCAGCTGTGCATTTTGTTGATCAATGACGACATTAGGGATGCGGCCGACGAGGGGTGACACCCTTTCATGCATAGGTTTATGCCTAGGAAGCGGACTGGTGTGGCTGGGTCTGTCCATTGTAACCCTTCCGGGGATAGTTCTATGGGAGGGGGTGAGTCTGCTAGCCACGAACCGACAGTCTTTGTCCAATTCACTTTCATTTCTGATGCTAATTGAAAGGTTTGCCTAGCTCTTGTGAGGGCTTGGAATGAGGAATTTGATGCTCTTATAAGGACTGTGAGATCATCCGCGAAGAGTAGGGTAGATGGAAGGTGGAGTGTGTGGCCTCTATCATCCTTGATACTATCTAATCTTTCTATGGATTTGTCCTTTATGAGGAAGGTCGCGATTGCTTCCATAACAAAGAGGAAAATGAGGGTTGCAAGTGGGTCTCCTTGTCTTACCGATCTTGTCATTTTGTATGGGTTGGAGAGGAAGCCGTTTACCTGGACTACGCCCTGTGCATCTTTGTAGAGGATTCTTACCCATTTACGAAAGTTCGGGCCTACTCCCATTTTCTCCATGCAGGTCTGTTGGAAGTCCCAGTTGACTTGGTCGTAGGCTTTCTCAAAGTCGAAGAAGAGTATTGCTGCCGTTATTCGTTTTTGAGTGATTAGCCTGGTGGACTCATAGAGGGTTATAACGTTGTCTAGTACGGGCCTGCCTGGAATGAATCCTGTTTGGTCTAGATGGAAGCAGTTACCGGTGATGTGGTTGATTCTTGTGGCTAGGATTTTGGCCAAGATTTTGTAGGCGACATTAAGGAGGGATATGGGTCTGTAATGTTTTATGTTCTTTCTGTCTCCTTTCTTGTAGAGTAAGGTCACAACTTTGGTGCTTAGATCTGGCCCCAAGAATTCTTGTTCCCATGCCTTATTAAGGAAGCCTAGGTAGAGGGGGCCGAAAGAGGACCAACTTGCGGCCCATAATTCTTTTGAGAGGCCATCCTTGCCTGGTGCTTTGTTGGGTTTTAGGTCTTCGAGTGTGATTGGCTCCTCCAGTTTGTTGGTAGCTTCTACCAATAGGCTATGATCCAAGTGGGTCAGGAA